GGCGTGCATTTCATTCATTGTTAACCTTATAGGAACCTCTTCTTGTGCATGTCCTGCCTAGAACCTCGTCTCTTTTGAGTTATAAGGAAATAATTGCGTCAGAACAACTTATTTTTGACTTAGTTAGCCTGCTAATCGTGACTGGGATGTGGTGGTTGTCTGCTCCTTTTCGGCTCCATCCAACCGTGACCTTTAGTCAGCTTCCCATTCACATCTCTCACTAAAAGTAGGAAATATCAACGAAATCGATAAATAAAAATTTCAGAGGCTATTTTGACGCTATTCTCGTACGTTCAGATACTTTCCATAATTACTCAAGACTTTACTCAAAAAAACTTTTGCAATGTTTTCAGAGATCTCGACAATAAAGAATAACTTCTCGCGGTTTACATCATTTAGTTTTGCTGGATGTATATCCTCGAAAAAATCAGCTACTTAACAGGAAAAATTCTTTTGAAATAGTTTTTATTTGCTTGAAAGGATAACAAGTTAAGAGGAAAAGTTTGCGTGTTTGAAAGCTTTAGCACTCTGGATACGGAAAACACACTGCGCATTCAATGTGATTAGTTGAGGAAAACACACCTCCACATGAAAAACCAGCCAAAAACATCACTAGCCACTAGCTGCTCAAGGCTTCACTCTCAAATGCCGTATTCTGCATCACTCCACTGTCCTCGGCCATATCGCTCGTTATCTCTTCTTTTCGTTTACAGTATCTCATAAGCAGTACATTGTCGAAAATGTTCGTACATATTGCCTAAAACGCATTCCAAACGTAGTAAACAGAGTTATGAAAGCGTTTAGTCACAAACATGTACGTACCTATTTTATTTCATTTCTGCCATATGTTATGGTCAAAGCGCTGAATGCAGAAGTAAGCCCGACGCAGGGCTCAAATGAGTTAAAATCTGATATTTTGAATGAGAGAATTTCCAAAAAATTCAAAGCTGCTTTATATGCCATTTCTTAAGCAGTATTTTTACGGCTTTGAATTTTTCGTAGCTGTTTCCTATCATAGAAAATGCAGAGAATTGCTTACTAGCGGTGCGGATCAACGTCGAGTAATGAGTGTGGAAGGAGGCTGACAAGCGTTGACAAATGAGAAACACGTACGAGATCATTCCTGTTAAACAGGCTATGCTATACTCGTTTAAAACAGAAAGAGTCTCGAGATGAATAGGTTTAGATTTGATATTACAACTTATATCGCCTCATATAGTGTTTTTTTCTTATATAACTTTGCTTTCTATCAGTTGTAAGAGTATCGTTCTTGTTTCTGTAAAACATATATTGACGTAAGACAAATCCGCTTTTATGTTTTATTTCTCTGCGCGGATTGTGTTCGTAGAGTATCGTCATTCCTCTCCTCTGTATGTAAGAACGACTTAGCTTAATGTGCTATACACGGAGAACAACGAACACTTGCTTGAGCGCACGTGTAAATTTCGCAGTGCTCTTCACTGTTTCTTTGAGCCTCTTATTCAAAAATTTTTCTTCCCTTTTCTTTCCCTGGTAGTTCTAAGCCGATTCGATTTGCCGTGAATTAAAGTAGAAGTAGGATCTAATATGTAGGCAAATCCACTCTCTTTCTCAACTTTCTTGCAGTCGAGCTCTTCTGGCCTGTATTGTTGCGTATGAAAACTTATTTACTATATATTCTTCTACTAT